CCCCCTTCCACAACCAGCCATTTATTCCCCCTCTGGATATTAGATCAAGTCCGGCTCGATGTGGTAAGCTATTTGATGGGGATACAGAATCGTCCGCCTCATCCATTCCCCGGCTTTCCCAGTTCCTAGCAACCAACAAGATTAGACTCTCTGTTTCTCAGTGGTTTGGACGGACCCGGAGTACAGGCAGATACCATAATCACATTATGTCGACTTAATGCATGCAAGCACACTAGATAAACACACATGTGCCTGCACACACACACCACACACACACACAGAGGCCAATGATTCAAAATGAATAAGATGTGGATATGGACAACATTTTTCAGTCATCATTTATAAATAAAATCAAAAATACAGAGGGAAACTGCGACAATTCACTTTGCTCCTTATTGTATTTATGAAATCGAGTTAAGCTGTTGTGTTACTGAGATCAAGTTTCAGATCGGGGATTCAAAATGAAAAAAAAAAAGAAGATATTTACAAAAGAAAAGAGCGTTCACTGAACCGGTGGGTCTGTGACGTCCCCCGACGGTGGTAACAAGTGAGAGAGAGAATTAAATCACCACAGCATGTAAATATAATCATGTTAAAACTTCTCAAAGCATCATCGTGGTTAAAAAACACTGACGCAAGAAAGAAGTGTTCGGTTTCACAACACGCGGCTCTGGCTCAGGAGGTAAAGCGGGCTGTACGGTAGTGACGTTAGCGACGTAGATCTTCCTGGTTCGAATCCCCGCCTGGTCAGAGCCGTTTGTGTCTCAGTGGGTTTTTCCGTGGGTACTCCCGCCGTACGCTGGTGATCTGTACCCGCCTCTCACCCATCGTCAACTGGGATTGGCTATCGGCCACAGCAAAAAAGTCAGTGCCCGTCGGGTTTGGGTGAAAGCAGCTAACGTTCTGGCCCACGCGGGTCTCTAACAGGAAACCAAGGGAATGTTGTTGTTTGAGTCAAGGTGAGTCGATTATTGTCAGTTTAAGCGCTGATTGATGGTCGGTCGGTCGGTTGGTTGGATGCAGGAGGCCTCAGTCGAGTCCTTGAAGGCAGCAGCTATAAAAGTAAATGAAGTGAATTTGAAACCAGCCTCTGGTGAAGCGAGCCCCCGGTCATCGTTTGACCAACAACCCAATCAACCCTCACACACACACACACTAAATCACGGGTCGTGTCTGTGCGATGGCGCAGGAAGGAAAACATCCAGGCTCAGCAACGTCGGACACGATGAAGCCAACATGTTGCAGCTGCAGGGACAGAACCACGTAATAGACAATAACCTGGACAGTGATGGTGAGATAAGACAACGAGCCGGAGAAAAGACACATGATGAGAGAGAGATGAGATTACTGTCACACAGGCTGATCCACTGCTTGGTAGGAATCACTGCGCCTGGCAAAGGACACACACACACACACACACACACACACACACACACACACACTCAGAGTAGATATATAAATCAACACACGATAAACAGAGAAAGTTTGTTCCTCTGAAAATAGACGTGATGTTTACGCTGCTTGTTCTTTGACCGTGGGCGTTTTTCTTTTTCATGCAATTAATTCACATTCAAACTTACAGTAGCATAGAATATTTCTCTGCAATGTAAGATGGGAAATATCTTCTTTTGTCGATATTTAAGATTATAAAAACCCGGTACGACACAGATACGGTTTCTTGACTTTGTTCCACCGTATCTGTCGGAGGCCGCGGTGGAAAACTACAGATCCCGGCCGATCAGACACAGAGATTAAGCTGCGCATCAATCAAGCAGCGCTCCATCACACGGACTCCTCACCGCAGCTCATCACACTGTGGAAACACTCAGCAGTCTCTGGCATGCACATAACATACATCTCCCTAATGGAGCACGGCGAGCGAGTCGTCTGCAGCTCCTCGAGTCGTTCGGTCCGACTCGACATTTTAGGGACGAGATGAGACGAGAACTTTCAATTAATCTCCCGGTCCTCGATGTTTAGTGGCATTATCACTACTCATGGGGTACTGGGAACTACTTGCTCACACTATTTGGACTTTGTATAAAGATGGCCGATAGGACTGAAGCCAAGGTGCCTTGATTTCCCCCCCCTGGTGGCTGGCAGCAGTATAGGTCATAACCTCTGCCTCCTCCATGTTAGTGGAAAGACCAAACTAAAAAGATGGTTCAGTTATCTGATGCTATTCCCTTCACTGACTGACTCACGATGGGTCGAGCGCGTGTATCGACAGGACGTGGACGACATCACCTGATGATCGCTGTGAGTCGTCCATCTTTGTTTACGGTCCATGGTCACAAAGTAAAATGATCGCTGCGATGATGTGGTGATGAAAACGTTGTGAGCGGTTCTGGTTCCAGTGTCTTCATCTATGATTCTGTGGACGTGAATGTTTGAACAACCTGTCCGAGCTCCCGCTGCCCAGCGTTGGACTGTATATCTTTACATCCCCTCAAAGGTCAGCGCTGTCACGACAGCTCGTTAATGCTGTAAACGCACGTCTCAAAGTTCACCAAAGTTTCGACCCGCAACAGTCGAAAGAGAGAACGTTGTGGCCTTTCTTCTGTTGATCATTACGGGGCCTGATGGTGGTCGGAGAAATTCTTTTAACACTTAGATTAGATTAGATTTCAGACTTCTTCACCAAAACCCTTTAATGTCTAAACACAGTGTTTGACATGTTTAAGGGATTTGGTCCAACGTCATCTCTCCTCAAACAGTGTTGAAATTTCAGGCTTGAACTATTTGCTTCGCTGTCCCCCCCATGATTTCCATTGGAAGCTTTATTTATAACGAGTCGTCTTAAGTGAAAGAATAAAATCAGCTGCCCTTTTTTTGGGTGAAATGAAGATTTTCGTTTTCATTTATTTTGACAGTTTTAGCTAAAAAGGAGAAAAATGAGCCTGAAGCAATCATCATTTTTTTCCACTGCTAGCTGATACCTGAACATGATTTTTTTTAAAGAAAAAGAAAACGATTCGTCTGCCCTGTGGCCTATTCTTTCATATTTCATGTTAACTTTCTCCCGTCTTTACCATCAAACATTTTGACATTCAATAAATGTTCATACAATGGCCCGCAGCCTACATTGAAATATATTACAGCCCAAATGAAAGTGGAGACGACGTCCGCGGGTCATCCATCATGGCTACCTGCTGTTTTGCCCGATGAAGTCAGGAGCTAAATATCTGTCTGAAATCAACAGAATCAGTCGCTGAGTGTTTTCACTCCGCTGCAAAATCACATTGTGCAAATCTTGTTCCCATTCGGAGACACGTTGAACTCGGCCTCCTCGTGCACATTGCCTTCTGCCGAACGCTCCCTGCTTTGCGATTGCATTCAATCTTTAATAAAAGACGGAGACGGCAGAAGTTCAGCATCTCATCACAATGTTGATATGATTTTTTTTTTTTCCTGAAGCAGCTGATGTATAACACACTTACCTGCTGCTGTGTTTTCTGCAATATGGACTCTGTCGCATCTCTTGCCTTATTTTTTTTTAACCCGCAGCTCATGACTGACCGATGATTCATCTGTGTGGCATCAACATAATCCCATTACAGGCGCTGATATACTGCATTCCGCAAACAGATTTCCTCTGACTACAAAAGGTGGCAGTTGTATGTGTGTGTGTGCAGGTGTCATTTCTTATCAAGGAGCCTTTGCTTCCCTTCATTCTGTTGTCAGTTCTGTCGACAGAATTTCATTTCACAAGGGGGGGGGGGAGCAAAAAGCACTCCTCTCCTGTCTAACCCAGTGGACTGCAACAGTGAGTACGGCAGGGTGGAAAAGATAACTTCTCTCGGGGGAGGCTGCCAGGCACAGCTCTTCATCACCGACTCTCTTCTTCTCAGGTTTGTGAATACAAATGCAAAGTTTCGCCCAAAAAGCAAAACACAATGTGTTTTATCTGCGGACGGAAGTTTGACTTTTAACTGCTCTGGGATTTTGGGCTCTCCGAATCCCCCACTTAAGTGGATTAACACAGTGTGTGACAACAATATCATGGAGGTGTTACACAGGCCGGTGACGATGGCAGTGTCTAAAGGGGGTAGAGCAGGTCGTCCGTTAATTGGAAGGTCGGCGGTTTGATCCCCGGCTCCTCCAGCCGGTAAGATACTGAACAAATGGCCTCTGATGAAGAGTGTGTGGGCGTACGGGTGAGAGGAGCTGCTGTGAAACAAAAGCTGTGTGTAGTTTAAAAAGATGTGAGTTAATGCAACTGCAGTTCTTTAACCTGTGAGTATATTTACACCCCAACAACTTAACGCTCTTGGATAAAAGAAGAACCGTATAATTAGTCACCTGTAATAACCCGGTGAGTCCGATGCGTCATGTTGAACGTCTAAAGCAGCTGAAGAGGACGAGGAGGAGACAGATCACTGCAGAGCTGCTCAGGCATCACTCTCCTTTAATCAATACGCACTGGATGAACGCAGTGATTATAATGGAAATGATTGATACCGCTCACTGATACTGTTGTTACGCTTCACGAGGCAGACACTGGGTGGGTCTGTTTTTCTACAGTAGAACGCAGGTGCACATTTTAATGGCGAGACATTTGAAGAAGAAACTGCTGTTTGACGTCTCTGAGTAATTCTCTGTTGGGCTCATTTGAGCCATTAGTCAAAGCAAATTCCTCGACTATCTTCCCTGTGCCCTCTGGTTCTGCACTGATCTCATTCATCTTTCCATACACCGGCAGCGGTACGTTCCTCCCACACACACATTTGGACACTTGTTAAGTTCATTTATAGGCCAGGGGGAAGAGGGCACAGACTTACGGTTTGACATTTACTTCATAAATAAAGACGAACATAATCTCTCCCTATAAAAGCCTCAACCTGAACGGAATAATTAAACGTCCCGGTTGCCAAGGTCACGGCGAGGACAGAGCTGGTGAAGTGAAGCCGCTCATTTCTGGAACCCAAAGACAATATTGTGGACAAAATAAAGGACGAAATATTTCATAATGACAGAGTAACAGTACACAGAGTTCTTTTTGCTTATCACCTGTCGAATTAAGGGCTTTATTAAAATCAAGGATCCAGCCTGAAAATAGATTCTGTGTCCAATCAGAGTGAGATCATGTCGAGTTTGTCTGATTTATTGAAACAGGATTTCCTGGACATAATTAATAAATAATTGATGTTAGCATCAGCCTCCATCCAAATACATAACCAGCCGACCTTTAGTCTAAATGAGTCTGCGGCTAAAATCCATGGGACGTATTGAATGAAGCAGGCCAGAGCTTTATAGACAGAGAGACAGAGGAGATTGAGGATGTGGACTGAAAAGTGTTTGGAGAGCCTCGTCCTTCCATCCATCCATTATCTACTCTGCTTATCATGAGCTGTGTGTGTGTGTGTGTGTGTGTGTTTGGCTCGGGGGATGACAAGTCGGTCTGTCGGTCCACTGCATGCGTCTGAATATCTCAACCACCAGAGGATGAATCCTACTTACTCAGGCAACCCCCCCCCGACCTTTTCACGTGGAACCACCTGAAGTTTCTACCAAGTTTGAATTAATATTCAGAAATTCATGCTCCCTTCAAGATAACCCGACTTCGGGGATCCTCTAACATCAGTTTCCTTCCGTCCATTCGGTTTTCACTCGGTTTATCCTCTGGGGGTCACTGTGGGCTGGAGCAGGGCCCACGTATTGAGACAGTCAGACCTGCAGACGAAGTGTGGGAGGACGCCGGAGTGAACGCATGCAGACATGAGGATAACAAACAAACTCCGCACAGAAATGAACCGGGATCGCTCTTGCTGTGAGATGATGGTGCTAACCACTGCACCACCGTCCCACTCTTCCAGCATCAGTACCAGAATTTAATGTGTCCGTTTATTTCACTGTCGATATTTAATGCAAATGGACCAAACGCTGTCTTCACTCAGGGTGAACATTACCATCCTCCACATCAGCATGGCATCATTGTTATTGCCAGCATGTTAGCATGCCGACATTAGCATTCAGCTGAAAGCACCAGCGTGCCTGTAGTGTAGCTCTTGATTTTTAAACAGGAGAAGAGGTCACAGAGGTTCAGATGTTCAGATCGGGTCCTATCATCCATCACACACACATACGTATTGACCATAAACCAATCAGGATAAAAACACGATGATTTGGTCTTTGTGAACAGAAACGTTGTTCGTGTTTATTTGCATATAGAGCGGGGAATCACAAGTGGTCACTCAAGACGTGTGTGGAGACACGTTTTGATGCCCGGCGTGAAGTAACATGCTCAGAGCTGAACACGCAGGGCCTGGAGCACCACCTGATCTAGTGTCT